ATTAATAATAGGCAGTATGAAACTATATAGGATAAGTAAGATAAAAGAAAATTATCTCAACAAGACAAGTTAGTGAGATGGTTGGAAGGCCGCATACCCTACTTCGGGTCTGGGGATCCAATCCTAGGCGTGGACCCGGTTCGGGCCGCCCGGCCCGGGACCGGCCCGGCCCGTCACTGTGCGGGCCCGGAACCGGCCCGGTTCTCGGGTCCGGGTCCGGTTCGGGCATAGACCCGGTCGGGTTAGCGGGACCGGGCTCGGGTCCTGGTTTTGGAGGCCCGGCCCGGCCGGGTCGGGCCCGGGCCCGGGCCTAACGGTCCAATATTTAAAAAAAAAATTTTTTTTTTTTTGGATTCTTTTGGCTCAACGGCCACCCCAAACGGCTATATAGCCGTTGGGTGGTACCAGGGGGGGTCAGGGGGGTTTGGGTGGGGGGTGGGGTGGGGGGTGGGGGGTGGGGGTGGGGGGTGGGGGTTAAAAAAAAACCTATAAATACTCCTAATTTTAAACATTTTTTCACACCTCTTCTCCAACTCTTCTAAATCCTACTCTCTACTCATCTCCATTCTCCAATTCTCCATATTCATCTTCTCTAATTCTCTTATTCTCCTTTATATTTTATTTTACTATTTAATACTTATACAATTATTATATCTACTTATATATTAATTATCTACTTATATATATTATTATCTACATATACTATATTGCTTATATTTCTTATCTACTTAATTTCTACTTATATCTCTTAATACATACATACATACTATATCTACTTAATATATACTTTATATAATAAAGTATTAAATATACTTTATAAACTATTACTATATACTTAATACATAATAATATCTACTTCTCTACTTATATTTTATATATACTTATTTTCCAATCTCCAATTCTCCATTATACTCTAATATTTAATTCTTATACAATTATTATATCCACTTAATACATACATTCTACATCTACTTAATATATATTTTATATATTAAAGTATAAAATATAAGTGTATTACTCATCGTATAGTATAGTATACTTATATATTATATAATATAAACATTATATTATATATTACTTACTATAACTAGTATTATACTAGTTAATTAGTTAATTAGCATTCTTGTTACATTTTTCATTATACTAGTTAATTAGTTCATTACCATTATTGTAACATTTTTCATTATACTAGTTAATTACTTAATTAGCATTCTTGTTACATTTTTCATTATACTAGTTAATTAGTTCAATACCATTCTTGTTACATTTTTCATTATACTAGTTAATTAGTTCAATACTTCAATACCATTCTTGTTACATTTTTCATTATACTAATTAAAATACTTCACATTTTATTTAACTAGTTGTTAGTTTGTTACATTTGTCACTATACTAGTTAACTACTTAATTAGCATTGTTGTTACATTTTTACTTGTACTAGTTATTTACTTCAAAAGTTGCTATAATTTTAATTGTAGAGACACACATTAATTCTACTTTGCAAAAAATTAGTTTGAAGTATTAATTAAAATAATTTTAATTAGTTGCATTAGTTTTGTATCCATTATTATATTTGTTGTGAATTAATATTTGTTACATTTTTTAGATGGAAGGTGGTAGATATTCGGTTGATTTGGGTAACCTCCAACGCAATCGAAGAAACGAGATTGGGAGGAAGAAATCCCGCAAAGGTAAAGAACTTGCCGGGTCTTCATCTCAAAGTCGAGATGATTTTGAAACGGGTTACCAAAGGCGAGATGGAGATGCGATGTCCGAAGAACAACTCCAACAAGAATTGGCCCGACATAATAACCGCTTTCTACAACAACAACAAATGCCGACGACCATTGACGAAGAGGAGCTTGAGGATGAAGATGCGGAGGAATTGGAACCGGAGACGGCCGAGGAGGAGGGTGCCGGCAGCCACGACGCCGACGCGCCTGCCTCATCCCAAACCGCCACTGGTAATAAAAAAAGTAAGTCTGAACTAATGAAAAATAATTTTGATAAATGGAAAGACCCACAAACCGGCTATTGGCACGCAACTTGCAAGTGGTGCAACAACAATTATAGTTTGGGAACCTCCGGCGGATACGGATCCGCCGCAAGGCATCTTAAGGCAAAGCACCCCGTGGAGTATGCAAAATTAGGCGGCGGAACGGGGAAGCAAACTCAAATATCGAGGTTTGCGAATTCTCAACCTTTTGGTAATTTCTCCTACAATGATGCACAAAATTTGACTGGTATGGCTAACTTAATTTGTGAAGAAAATTTGCCTTATTTGTTTTCTGAAAGTCTTGCTTTAAGAGATTATGCACAAGGTAGTTTAAATCCTCAATTTAGAAATTATAGTCGCAAAACTGTTAAGAAAGAAATAATAAGGCTTTATAATGCGGAAAAGGAAAGGTTACAAAATTTTTTTGCAAACTTTGATGGGCGTGTTACTATTTGTTCTGACATATGGGAGGATGATTTTCATCATTTATATTATTTGGGTCTGACTGCACATTATATTGATGAGGATTGGAATATGCATAAACGTGTTCTTGCTTTTCGTGAATTTAATGATCGTCACACCGCTGAACATATTTATATTTTGATTGAGCGTATTTTAATTGAGTATAATTTGATTGATAAGGTGTTTGCTATTGGTTTCGATAATGCTACTAATAATACTGCTGCTATACCTAGATTGCGTGAGTTGTGTGGTGCCAATTCTTTGATGGGTAGATTTTTTCATCAACGGTGTGCATGTCATGTTATAAATTTATGTGTGCAAGACGGTTTAAAAGCGTTAGGAGATTCCATGGAGGTAATAAAGGGGGGGGGGGGGAGGGTTAGACGTATTTGGGGTAATGGTCAACTTAGATTAAAATGGCAAAGTTATTTGACTGAAAGAGGTGTGAGATATGTTGCTTTTCCTAAAGATTTGAGTATTCGTTGGAATAGTACTTATAAATTACTTAAAGTTGTTCTTAGATATAAAGAACATTTTCCTGCTTTTTTAAAAGAACATGATAACTATATTATAAACGCGGCTGAGATCGACACTTGCGAAAAAATTTGTAATGTTTTGATATATTTTTTTAATGCTACTGAAACTTTTAGTCATGTTTATAAACCTACCGCAAACCAATTTATTCCACAAGCTGTTAATCTCGCCGATGCTTTTAAAGAATTTCAAAATGCCGTTTTCGTTCATTATTTTTGTGATCATATGAAGGAAAAGTTTTTAAAATATTATGCGCATATTCCCCATATTTATGGTATTGCATTTATTCTCGATCCTCGTTATAGACTTGCTAATTTGGAAGATTGTTTCAACTTCTATTATCTTGCGTTTTTCGGTGAATTTCCAATGTATGAGGATAACCCCACAGATCCGAAAACGGAATACAACGAGGTTAGTACTTTATTTTATGCCTTATTTAATGCAGTTGGCTCCGCAGCAGGCTACTGCTCTGTGCGAGCAGTTGGCTCCGCAGCAGGCTGCTGCTCCGTGCGAGCAGTTGGCTCCACAGCAGGCAGCTGCTGAGGCGTTACAACGCCATAAATGCCCAACGTTCCTTTGCAATAAATGGACGGTTTTTTGGACGAATCAATGCCAACGAGCTGGACATTGATTGCCAACGTTCATATTCATTAAACCTCCATTAACACACCTCCAAATCCTTCCTATAAGTAGCTGGCAGGTGATTTGCAACAAGACACCACTCACAAACGTACTCACACAGTTTTTGAGCTCTAGAAAAACACCTCCAGTTTTCGAAATTCCTTCTGTGTTCTAAGCTTTGTTCTCGTTCGTTGGAACTTTAGTTTGAGTGCTAAACTATTGTTCGAAGTCATCGTATCCTGGGAAACGATCGTTGCAACGCTCCTAGCACCCCGGGAGGCAACGAATACGTTTTAAGGAAATCGTGCTTCGCACGAGCTTTGGCTTATTCTGCTTCATCTCATTTCTCGTTTTTCCTTTAAGTCATTTTATTTAATTAATTTTATTAATTATTTTCTTAGTTTTTCCAAACACACCCAACAACAACAAGTTTGTTAAATAAAAATCTAAACACATTTTATCGAAGTTATCTTATCTCTTGCTTTGTGGTGACATGTAGTTAAGTAGTTTCCACGGATAACACCCGAAATGTTTGTTATACACCAAACAATGTGATTAAGAACTTCTTATTGTTCTTTATGTTATTTCAATTGTTCTTATTACCAACTTTATGCTTATGAGGTTACTTCTGATGTGTGTATCCAAACTTTCAATTGTTCTAGAATGATTATTGATTTATTCGGTGACGCTAGAAAGAGTTAATTCGATATGCTTTAAAAAAATAGAGTTACTCTCTTGCTCCACCTACGGCTGGCAGTAATATTTTTAGGAACTTGTTTCAACTTTTATTGCATTCATACTATCAGTTTCTTATTTTTTTTACTGTGTTTTTCGAATTCATATAATTCATTTAACAAATTGTTTTGAAAAATGCTGCATGGAGCTATCATTTTGGCATGTTTGTCCGCGTTACTAACATTTTGATTGATGTTTTTTGTATTTTCTATTGAAAGTTAAAAAGAATTTGAATATTTTGTCATTGAGTGGCCCTTCACACACATCATGTTTCTTTTCATGTCTATATTTAGCCTTAGATTATTTTTAGACAATAAATTTTACATTCTCCTACCAGCATTCCTGAGGTTTTTTGGTGAGTCTTGATTCAAACTTTTACAGTATCTTTTGTTTATTTCCATTTACCAAACCTCTCATATTTATTTTCTATATAGTTTTTACTTTTTATTACTCCCATATCATATCTGAGGCTTTTAGCTATAAAAGGGAAAAGATTAAGGCAAAAGATGGTATGAGGTTCATTCCTGAAATTGAGGAACAACAAAAGGGAAACAGATAAAAGCAAGACAAAAACAGCATTAGATCATGTCTCCATACACTTCATTATTTCTTCCCAAACCAACATTAAGAGTAAATAGTTTGAAAAACTATTGCTGAATACACTTAGAAAGTTGGAAGATTAAGACTGGAGTAGTAACACTTGACTCGTAAAGTTCAATGAAATAAATTCAATCCAATGGTAGAAACTAGAAATCAAAGCATGGGAGAAGCTTGGAATTTGAGGTTAGGCAGGAATGATTGTAATTTGGACCACATTAAATCATACGTAGTATCATTCATTTTGGCTCATTGAGACTAAATCATACCAGTTGCATTTTCAGCTAATATCTTCCCAAGCAGAGAGTAATTAACTGTGCACAAGGACACCAAAAGAAATTCAAAAGCATCACAATGAAGGGAAAACAAAGCAGAGAAAGAGGATTCTTACCGCGCCATTGCGGTGGGAAATCATTATAACACCACTGCATCGTACACTTTCAGGGAAACTAAAACTTGTCCAGAGTACATTCAATTTTGCATATATAAATATATTACAATAGTACATGGCTTTTAGTTTGTAGATGTATGGTTCCAAAGTACATGGCTTTTAGTTTGTAGATGTATGGTTCCAAAATCAGAACTTGAAGTTTTATTCATTATTAGTATGCTCCTAAAAGAGTACTGAGCACAACCCAAGCTATATATAGTGTCATAGTGATCTTACACTCAACTGCACTTCTAACAAAATTAAAACAAGATGTTAATGCATTTTGGGCTTTGAAAGCCATGCTTGCCAGCAGCTTTAATGCCAAGGACAAAGAGCCAAATTTCACTCTTCCAGTCATTGATGGTGCCCAAATGGTGCAGGGATTGTCCATTTCGACATTTGAATGTATTCATAAGTTTACCACAATGCGAGAGGAAGTTAGAGTAAGCAATTTGCAGCAACTAGGTTTATTTTACTTTGTCTATAAAATGGCTTTGCAGAGAAATTAAGCCGGGCAAAAACATTCTTTTTAATCCAATTTCACAACAAAAATTGGATACACTATGCTCACCACACTATTTGTTAGTTGGCTCAAGTGGTATTGTTAACGGAAATAACAAGTACATGGGAAAATCTGTCAGCTGCCATCAAAACAACTAACGTATGAATAAATTACACGTAGAAAGGATGGGAAAATCTGAAAAATGACTAGTAACAAAATTGAAAATTCAAACTCATCCGTCAGCACACTAAAAATGGCACAAGTTCTCTCTTCTTTGGTATGTTGCTCAGGGGAAGGCTTGGAATACATACAAACATAATGGGCTTGGTGGCCCAGACTGGTTCACTTAACATCCATTCTTAAATGCTCAACTCTCATCAGTTTAAGAGGAAAGTTGTGTAAAAGAGAAAGCACATAAATGCGGGAGGGAATACCAAACCTGCATAGAGGGCAAGTAATATAACCGGTTGTGGGATGTTTGCTATGATGACCTCGGACCTTAAACCACCCGACAATGCATTTTGCATGAAATATGTGGTAACATGGCAGCAATATTGCTGCTGCGGCCTCCGCCTCCTTGTGGGTATGCTTCTTACGATCGGGCAAAAGTTCATCCATACATTGGAGGCGAATCATGAGGCACTGCGGTTCGTACTTGCCAAAACAAATTGCACATGTTTTTTCTTCATCCTCGTTTGCACCAACGCCAAGTTGGAAGAAATCGTAGCCATCCGGCACTACAATTGGCAGAGGCATTGGAGATGATGGGTCGAAAACTTCCTCCCCCGGCTGCTGCAGGAAAACTTGGTACGGGGTTGGGGCGCCTAATACCAAAGTTACAGAGAGTTGTATACTTGCAGCCACGCCAATTGAGAATAACTTTGAGTTTGAGTTGGGGTTGTCATTGATGAGAAGAATAAGCCGATCACGACATCCCTTTACCAATACGCTTGCCAAGTCCTTCAGTCCGTCTCGGGAGACTACGGGCTCAAGGGGGGAGAGTACTTTATCCGCAATTAAAGTCGTAAGTTCTTCTTCTTCTTCCTTTGCAAATCCTCCCCTGAGGATCTTCTCCAACTCAATATTCTCCGCACATTTGCCGCTCACGTCAACATTCTCCTCAATCCTATACATAAGTTGCTTGTTCCAGTCGGGTTCATTGATATCCAACCACCATGTCTTAATATAGGAGGTAGTCCGGTCCAAATACATCCTCACCAGAGACGACTTTTTAAGGTCGGCATCATCTTCTTCGATGTCCAGGTGCCAGTGCAGGTAATACTCCACTGCCATGCTTATCGAGCGCGAAAACGGAGAAGCTGAGGATCCTACTTTGAACGATAGAATTGTCGTCGAATGATGTCTCTATCTATCGCCGCCGAATGTGTTTCCAAATATCGCAGATTCCATTTTTGGAAACTTCTAGTTTTTTGTTTTTTTTTTTGTTTGAAGAGATGGAAACTTCTAGTTAGACAAATAAAAGATAGTATTTCATCAAATTGGATACTAGTCATACTAAAGTTACGTATGAATCTATATTATATATTAAAACGGAAAAGTGGCAGTAGTAGTTTGGGCGGGATTTTGAGCGGGGAGTGCAGCATCCTTTAAAACAGTGGTGCTACGTTAATGATAGAACACACCTTGCACGGAATACTGAAAGCTATATGGAGTAGAGTAACAATAAATGACAGAGCAATGACTGAAGTAACCTTTTAAATTCCCAACTGTTATACAGTAATGGAGGTGACTTTTAGAATCCCACTAAATCACAAATTTTACAAACGGGAATTTACAACTGTTATACAAGTATTTTTTGGGCGGTGGTTTTTTAATTAAATAAATAGCAGTGAGATGTGCAGTGTGGTTAACAAAGCTACTCAAACAAATAGTGGTGAACACCCCAAGGAGTGTTGAAAAACAACAACAATTAATGCTTAGCTCTCATGCCTTTTGAAAGAAACAATAAGCAAGCGAAAGAAATAATTAAAATCTTTGCAATGTTTGAAGTGCCATTTGAAATTTCCAATTTGCTTTTGTCCGCTACTTTGAATCAGGGTGACCTTTCTGCATATGTTTCTGCAGTATATATACTTCGTATATCACTATGAAAGTATGAATCCACAACTAACCTAGCCAACAACGTGTGGAGATGTGAAAATGAATTACTGGTGTATTATGCCTTTGAAGCACGTAGAATGCTACATATTTTTGTTGGTAGATTTTTTATTGTTTAATTGGCTTAGATTTCTTTGATACACGTAGAATACTACATAGATTTCTTAGAAATGTATTTGGCTTACTCAAAACTCTTTCAGAACTAAGACTTGGATGTTGTATTTTGAAAATGTATTTTAAATTGCAGGATGTTTTAGAACATTTTAAATGTTTCAGGAACCAAAACTCAACAAGTGATAACGACCAAGTGATCTTATTGGAAACTCCCCAGAAGTGGATCATGCAAGAAACTAAAAGGACTATCATAACAAGAGGTAATTGATTCTGTTCTACATTTGTCTATTTTGAAGCATCACAAACGTTGGTTTTTATATTTTTATCAAGTATTGGCATTTCTATTTCCATTTCAAATGAGTAATAATAAATTATTTGAATGACTTTTTCAAAAGAAAACTGTAATTGAATAAAGTATAAGACTGTAAGAAACACCTGCAATTACTTAATCAAACACGTTGTTTTTCCAAAAAAAAACACCTGTTAATATTCTTCTTATGGTGACAACTTTGCCTCAAACAATATTCTTCTTCAAGCCATGCCGTATGATGTTTGCCTTAAACAATTTTGCTGTTAATATAGGTCTGAATATCATGTACATCTTCATTTTATTAATATAGGCCACTGAGGAAGTTGTTTTGTCACTCGGTTGAAAAGTAGCTTTAAGAGAGTCAAAATTTTCAAGTAAATTTAAAACACCTTCATTTGTCAAAGAGAATTTGAATACTTAATTTTAGTCACAAAGTATTTAGTTAAGAGTGTAATCAATTAAGCTGAGAAATCATAGGTTGGAACTTGGGATGCCAATAATAATGTTCGTAATAATTTGCATTCAATGAAATATTCATAGGTTGAACCTCTTTTCATCTCTTTACTGAGAAATTGTTCCAATGTCTGGATAGAAATAGATTTAAGACTGGAAATAAACTATCAAAAGTATTGTTTCTATTTATGGGTCGATATGAATTTTCCTAACTAAAAGAAATTGATATTATCATAAATATTTAATAATATCTAAAAAATGATTTGGCTTTGAATTAAAAGTATTGAAATCTAAGTTGAAGTCTTATGAAAATAAATACATTAATTTTCATTTCGTCAATTTGGAATCTCATATTCGCATTTAAGGATTTGGCATCTAAGATTTTTTAAATAGATATGGTGATGCATGTCAATGAATCAAAAGTAAAATTTGTAGATCTATTTAGAAAAAAAGAAAAGAAAAATAGTGTTAAATTTGAAAATTACCTGTCTCACTTTGCTTAGCTCTCTTACGGACCTAAATTCTGTAATTTTGACTGATCATGCCACGGAGGAGAATCGGAGATAAATAAATCGAAGAATGGAAGTTCGGAATGTTATGTGCAAGTAAAAAAACAAATCAAATTGTCAAGCATTTGTCCGGTTCAAATGAGATCCCATCCATGGAAGGAGGAAATGGATATTGTGAATAAGAAGGGTTGGGTGCCATCGACCTTTGTGTAATCCTGTGGTTTGAGGCAGTGAATGGCAAAATGCTTTGTGAAATGGGGAGAAGAGACTAGGAGAAGAAACATGTGGCGTGGTTTGAGGCACGAGGGAATGAGGGATGTTCACAAGTGTATTTTTTTGTTTGTTTTTGGAGTTGCATGTATATGTGTAACACTAAAAACAGGGATGCAGCTTATTTAGTTATCACATATATCTTCCCACTTCCAAAGTGGGTGAGATTAAGAATAGTGAAATGGGGTATGAATTATTGAGGGTATGATGGGAAGATGGTGAAATAATGTGATGGAATGAAGGATAAATCCAAAAAAAAGTAGGTGTAGTAGTGTATTATTTTTTAAATTATTGAGGGTATGATGGGAAGTATTAGAAATGGGAACATATAAATGTTACGTCCAAAAAAGGAAAGTGGGAAGATATGAATGTTACGGAGGGAGTATTCCGTATGTTGTTGTAAATTTAATCCAGAATCCAATGATAAGTTTAATATCGACAAGAGATTTGAAGGCAAAAGTCAGTCAATATAGGGTCAAATAAACGAAAATCGTCCATTTCATTAATTTATTTATTGCATTGTTAATTTTTGAATGATAATTTTGGAAAAAGTAACTTACTTTAATATAAGATTAAATAATACTAAAATGTTTTTAAATAAAAATACTACTCTCTCCGTCCCGCTATGATTATCCCATTTCACTTTTTCGGTTCGTCTCACTAAGATTGTCTCATACCTTATTTGGTAAAGTTTGTGTGGTTCTAAATCATTCCTACTTTATTCTTACTTTATCAATTTAATATCAACCGCATAAACTCACTTTTATTAATAACTGTGTCACCTTATTTGGCCCCAAACTTAGGGGGGCAGAGGTAGTAGAATTTTTTCGATCATTAAAAAATGTAAATAAGTTATTTTAAAAATGATATCTTAATTTGAGCTCTTAAATCTATTTAAGAAAAAAAATTGGATTGAAAACTTTATACTGTTATATTGGTATATTGTTGTCATTAGAAAGATCAGAACAAGTTTTTGATACTCCGTATATTTTATTTTAAATTAGAAAACAAATATAAAAAAAATTACATCACTTAGGAGAAAAAGAGATTTTACATTACCCTTGCCCTCTCCCTTCCCAACTACGGATGGACATGGGACGGGTTTGCCCGGCTCTAGACTTGATCCGGCCCAGTATTGTGCAAGCCCGGTGAACCGAGACAAGGACCTACAAGATCATTTTTGGTGGACCGGTCGGTCCGGGTCCAACGGCCATAAATTCGAAAAAAAAGGTTTTGATTGGTTTTGGTGCCAGTGGGCGGGCTCCTAGCCATTGCCAACGGCTATAGATCCGTTGGGGGTAGGGTCTGGGGTGGGGGGTATCGAAGCCCGACCGATATGGTATTCGTGGACCCGACCTGACCCGAACCCGGACTGAAGCCCGACCAGGTAGACCGACCGAGCTCTATAGTGGTACATACCTGGGCCGGTATCGGGCATGATATTTTTGGACCCAAAGCCCGCACTGTCCCGGCCTGGAGCCCGGCCCGGACCCGACCCAGTCCACCCCTATTCTCAGCCAATCTACCCATGCCCACCATCCCAATCTGAATACCCCTTTCCGAATCCCCATCCTTTAAAAACTTAGAAAACCATCCTTTATGGGAAATAATTATTCCCGTGCATCGCACGGGTACTACACTAGTTTTATATTGAATAATGAATACCTAAGCTTCAAATGGATTAAATTGGACATTATAGTTATATACTCCGTATAATATTTTCTCCATATTTAAAAGTTTTTTACACTTTTCTTTTTAGGATGCATTTAAAAGTTTCTTACATTTTCTTTTTTTTTGGTAAGTTTTTCTTTTAAAATACTTAAACATCCTTACTTTTTCTACCTTTTATCATCTCTTTTCTACTTTTTATATACTATTCATTATTCTTACTATTCTACCTTAAATCTTGTGTCATAACCAAACGTAGCGATCTTTTAAATACGGAGGGAGTATGTGTATCTTATATTGAAAATAAAAATTTTAAATTGATCAAATATAACGTTTATCTGATTATTTTTGGACACAAAAAAAAATCACATTTAAAAGCTATATGTATTCCTTTTTTCTTTTATTTTATGTACCTAAAAAGTAAAAATAATTTAATTGGTGTATAATACAGAGTATATAATTATATGTTCCAATTAAGGAAATCTATTATAATGTAATTGATCTCTATTAAACCAAGCATCCAGCCCAGCTTGTTGTGAGGTTACCGTGCCTAGTGAAAGATCTCGAGTTCGAAACCCACTAGGCACATAAGGGTTCGAAACTCAATGGAGTGAGTTTCAGCACTGATCACTCCAGCCCCCCCCCCCCCCAAGTCCCCTCCCCAGCCCCCTGGAGTAAAAAAAATAATAATTGATCTCTTTAATATTGAGCTTGTTGACTATTCGAACCGAGTCGAACTCGAGTCAAGCTTAAAATGACCAAACTCGAGTCGAGCTTTTCCCGAGCGATCCACGAGCAGCTCGCGAGTGGCTTGGTTCATTTACACCCCTACATTCATCTATTCCTCCTCTGAATTTTACACAGGAACAAAAACATATTATTCTTCACTTAAGAGTGGTCAAAACTGAACAAAAACAATGTGGCATACATACAAATAAATCACCTGCTTAGTTGATGTACAACTAGAAATTCCTGACTAAAAAGATTCACAATCAATATCAGACTAAAATGACAATTGTATCAAGTGTAATATAGGCAATCATGATGATGGGGAAATGATTGAGATGTCTTCACCATGGTGAAAACAAACACCTGAAATTGGTAAGAACAATTGAAATCACATAAGGAACAACAACAATCATAATCAAGACAGGTTATCAACCGATTAAAAAAATGGAGTTAAAACTACTAGCTCCAATTCTCCTAAAGAAAATCTTATAGAACTGGGAATTGTATCACAAGTACCTCACTTTATGGGTCTGCAGGACTGCTACTGCTGTTGTCTCCACTAGAGCTCTCACTTTGTTAAAACATTTGTCCCATACCGGAAAGCTATAAAACAATTGAACACTATATAAGGTTTTGGGCTACTCCTTCTATCAGGTTGACCTTTTAGGATGGAACTCCTTGTCTTAACATGGTATCCGAGCCAAATCGATCCATGGTGTGGGGCTCCCTTATGAAAAATGATGACATGATTATAAAAAAATGACAATGACAAATCGATGAAAAATGAATGACAGCACGATCCAGACGAAGTGTCTGGTCGTGAGGAGGAGTGTTAAAGTCCCACACCAGACATCTCTGAAAGATTTAAACACTTTATTAAGATCTGAGCTACTCCTCCTATTACGTTGGCCTTTTAGGATGAAACCCCGGGTCTTAACATGGTATCGGAGCCAATTCTGGGTGTGGTTTGATGGCTTGTTTAGCATCCATGATTAAGGGTAGCTTGTTAAGGGTTTGTTTGGCCTGTTTATACACCCCAGTATTGTTCAGCCCTATTCGGGCTGAGGGGGCGTGTTAAAGTATTTGTCCCACACCGGAAAGCTATAAAATAATTAAACACTATATAAGGCTTTGGGCTACTCCTCCTATCAGGTTGACCTTTTGGGATGAAACTCTTTGTCTTAACACACATTTTACTGGAGCCTTGTGCCTTTTCTGTCTCAACATTTCTTTATATCTAAAGTAGGGTCTCAACATTTCTTTATATCTCGGAGCACAAATTCATCAGTTTGTTTAAATGGATATTTCAAATTCTTGAAGAAGAAGAAGAAGAATAAGGAAGAAGGAAAAGAAATAGAATAGTACCTCAATTGAAGCAAACTCGGCTTGTGCCTGGTGGTCTTCCCGGTTGGCTTCTTGGCTCAAGATTTCGACCCTTGCTTGGTCTTCGCTGCTGCGCTCCCCCAGTTTTCTGCGCACCAATCCAATTCATTTTAATTTGTTTAATGGATTTCGTAAAAGAATAAGGAAGTCAAAGAAATACAATACCATTATAGCAAGCTCCACCCGTGTCCGCTCCCAGTTGGCTTCCGTCCTCCCGGTTCTCAAGATTTCACCCTGCGCACCACTTCTATCAATTTTGGATTTTAAATTTTTGTAAAAGAAGAAGGAAGTAAAAGAAATCGTACATCGGACGTAGCAAGCGGTGCTGCCTCGTCTTCAACGTCGACGGAGTATTCTGCCTCCATATGTTCTATTGATAGCCGCCTAATCTTAAGGGCCCGTTCTTAAGTGTAGTTTTCTGCTGCCTTTTGTCCCTTGTGCGGACGCGGGGGTGTACGGCCCAAATGCCTTTTCATCCCGAAGATGCTTTTCAAATCCAAACGGGAAAACTATCATACTGGCCCTCCAACTATATCGAAAAAGTCAATTAATCCCTCTAACTAAAGAAACACCAAATTAAACCCCACATGTTTACAAAAACGTTCAATTGGCTAATTTAATAGGTTGTCTTCAGGTTATTTTGGAATTTTGGAATCCATTGAGTGCAAAATCCACTCTCATCCACTCTTGATATGTATCAGCATCTTCCTTCAGTTCCTTCACTTTTCTAGTAATGAATCCAAGCTTATTTTTGGATATCAATCCCATTTTGACTCCTCTGGACCAGTTCAGATAGTTATTCTCGTCGAACACTTCATCTGTAATTTTGAAATTTGATGTATCTGATGAGCTGAGATAGTATGGACCCTTATATGATCCCGAGTTCATGTTCTGAGATTGTTGCACTGTTTCCGTGAAGCTTGGCATCTTGTAGGAGATTTTGATGTTTTAATGGCGGGACTACTGATTTGGATCTTCAGGAGCGGCGCGGCTCTGATACCATGTGAAAATGTAGAAGGAAGAATCAAAATAGAGAAATCTATTACTCCGATCTCTCTGTCCCGAAAAGGTTCGCCAACTTTGACTTTCACGTGGATTAATAAAGTAGAAACTGTGTGGTTGAAATTTGTGAAGAGGAGAGAGAATTAACTTTAGTCACATATTCTTTACTTTAAATGGAAGGGAAAACTGTAAAATAGGCCCTCGTACTATACTGAAAAAGTCAGTTAAGTCCTACTTTTAAATCAATCAATTGGGTCCTCAAACTTTTAATAAACATTCAATTCA